CTGTGATACAGCTTTTCTGGGATAAATGTAATTCAATAAATGATCAAATATGAAGAATTATTTGAATAAATGATTACATGAGCTGAAACCATCTAAATAATATAATATTTTTGAATAAAATAGTCTTTTAAAAAAGAAATCAGTCTAAAAAATAAAACATTTGTATGTTTTAAGTTATTTTGCTCTGTGCAAAAGACAGATATTTGCTGCTTGGACTGGAGCGTATGGAAAGCTGGTTTAACCAAGGCCGAAGTGAAGACCAAACAGGAGTTGTCCATCTGAGGGACATGTGTAGTCTAAAAGACATTTAACCATGAAATGTTCAGTTTGTGATGTTTATATGACATAGCCCCTCGGCCACTTAGGTAGTTTACAAAATTTTTTGCAGAGTAAAATAATAAAAAAGACTAATTTGGCATGATGTCCTGAGAAGTTGCAGCTGAAAGGAGTCATAAAACAGAACAGGGGGTCATTTGATGCCCTGACGCCCCTCTAGATAAACGTGTTTTTTTTTGTCAAAAAAAATAGATAAATGTGTTAAATGAGTGAAGGAAAATATGAGCACCAAGCAACAACCCTAGAGAACCAGACCAAAAATTTTATGTGCAACCCTAGTTATAAAGATATTAAGGCAGGTATTCACAAAGACTGAGTGAATTTTTTTCTCCATTTTAATGCACTTCTCTCGCTCCACTCCACCATTTTCCAGGAAATAAAACGTTTGTCTAAAAGTGCACAACGCAACATTTAGTTTAGGTGTAATAAACAGCAGATTTAGGGGCAGGGGTAAATAATAAAACAGCTGTATTAGGAATGGAACGTGCAGGATTAGCAGAGCGGCTGCAGCAACAGGGATACTAACATTAGAAATAATGTAATAATAGTAACACTGGCAGTCATGTTGAGCTTGTTGGCTAATAGCAGGAGGAGGGACACTAATAAAACTACTAACTGCAGTCACAACAGTAGTGTGAACACAGTAGAACAAAACGCAACAATTTAAAAAGCTTGACCATGAAACAAGCTGGAGAAGCAGTTCATTATAACACATTTAAACACTGCTGAAGTTGATCTCACTTGATGATGTCTTTGTGTCCATTCCTAGCTGCCAGGTGGAGGGGGGTGGTGGAGGATGGGTCCAGGGTATCGTTCCCTCGCTCTCCTTCTAACAGTGTTGTCACCATGTTACTGCTGAGTAACAGCTGAGCCACCTGCAAAGGAATCGAGGAGATGAGAAAGAGTTAGCCTCAACACTCAGGACAGGAGTTACAACACAAACACAATAATAAGACGTCTGTGAAGACAAGATCCTGGAAGATATTTCAAGGTTATTAAAGACCTAGATTTCTTTGAAGAATGCATCTTTCACCCTCTAGCTTTTATTCTTTTATTCCAGGGTTTTAAACTGAAATCATCTTCTGCTGAGAAGAGAGAAGTTCTAGATCATAGGTGTGGAACTCACAGGTCTTATTAATGACWAGGCCTACCACTCTCACTTATGGTTACTTCTGCTGAACGCTTTAACACAAGTTAACAAATAATGAA